AGCATCAACAGCCGAGTCGATCTAGTCATGTCCGTCTGTCTGTCCGTATTATTGAACGCAAGAATATCAGAACCTATAAGAGCTAGACACTTGAAATTAGCTGTAGCTTCTCCTAGTTCCCGCACAGATCGAGTTTGTTTCCGATATTCGATAACTTGTCGCGTTTCTAAGTAATCGATAAAAGCAATATTGAAACCCTGTTTTTTGAGTAAATTGGGTAATTAATAATAGCTAGAGTCACCAAACTTGACATGCAGTTTCTAGAATAATGTATATATATCAAGTATCTTTATTTTGTTGCTATCGCCACCGCCCGTAGAGCTATAAATCAAGCTAATAACCCAAATTGTATTGCCCACCAATTAAAGCCACAATTTAAATGCAATTGACTTTTTGAGAATACCCAAATACTCTATGGCACAATGAAATGTACTGTATAACATTGCATCAAGACCGGTTAAGAAACACAAACGTTATTAAAGAAATCCTGCTTTGACTTTCCTCACATCAGCGTCAGCAAGCGCAACTTCCAAGAATTTCTGTGTACATGTACACACACATTCATGCGCGTCTGCTTTGAATTCTATTAACAGTATTGCAATTGCGATTGTATTGTTTTCTGTGCTGCTATTTTAATTTGTGGTCCTAGTGGTCCAGTCTGTCGCGAGTTCGACCCCTACCGGGAAACTTTTTTTTTTTATTTTTTGGCTGTTGTGGCTGTTGAGTAGAGTCGGCATCAAGTGTTGCGGTCAGTTGCGAGTTCGAACCCTACCAAGGGAATTTCTTTTTTTTTTTTATTTACGTTTATTACTTCACACGAGCGAGAGCTGCACTTGGTATTTGAACAAGAAGGTTCAGGGTATTCCCTAGTCGGGAGCTCCCAACTGGAACCTCTTACAAATCAAACAAAGGAATTAGAATATAAAATATAAATATTTCATTTAGGCCATTTAAGTTTATATCAAATAAATATAAATCAAATACTTCTCGTTATGCCTGACTAGAAATACATGATAGAGCATTCAAATATGTTTGCCTATTTCTACCACAAGCACAAAAGGCACACAATTGAAGCAAAAATCTCGGGCTCGAGACAAACGCCGTGATCTACTTGTGCGCACATCCACACATCACAAACATATGTATGTTTGTAGATCTCGGGGTTTTTTGAGAAGCTATGCAGGGAGAAAGGGATGCACAGAAGTGCGCCATGGAGTAATTAAGAGAAAGAGCAAGCGTTTGGATTAAAAGCTGTAAGGAAGCTACTAGCCGGGGCACATATCCCGGTCTCGCCAGGTTCAGCAAGCCTACAAGACATTTGTTAGTTGCTGGGATGGAGGGTTTATTGAGAGGGGAAGCGTTACAAATGTTGCAACTCAGCCTTCGATCCGCCTGGCAGAAAAGCCTGCGCATATCCGGAACGGCCGAGCTGACCTTTGGCGTTCATGGATAGCCCAGTGTTCTCTGCCGGAGTCCGTCTCAGTCCACACACACACCACTGCTGGGATAATTACCATGCGCGACGCAACGAAGCCTCGTCTCTCGATATACTACGCTTTAGGTTAAGAAAGGGTTATGTCGAGCGACTTAAGGAAGCTTCGTCTCTCGATCTACACTTTAGGTTGAGAAAGAGGTTATGTCGAGTACCGGCTAGCCACGGTACCCGAGGTTAGTGTTAATAAAAGGTGACAATGATTAGCAGACATTCTTTATAAGTATCACTTTTTTCACGTAACCTATTTTATAATTGTTAAGTACTACCCTACTCTATTTCCCTACGAGAAAATCTTGCCGCACTGTCTGGAGCCCTAGCGCTCCGCTACCCACTTAGGGTTATGTTCACCATTTTTCCTTTTCGACACACGTCTTCTCACTTTGATCGTCACCGCAAATGTGCCGGTACGCTTGCTAGCGAGCCTTGCGCTTGCCTCGGTTGCTCAACTTCGCCGCGACCTTTCGCAACTTCGCCTCGGAGCTTTCGCTCTTCGCCGCCGAATTGAAGTTACGCTCTCGAAGACGGTGTTGAGCAACCGATCAGCAATGCACGGTTGCTGCGGCAGCCGGCGGTTAAATTCAAACTTCAAATTACGCCCTTGATGGCTACATGGCTCCGTGCCCTTCTCACCTACTCTCTTATCTCAATAAATGTTTAACAATACTGATACTAGGAATGGCTCCTTGCCTTCTTTACTATCGATTCTTATGACTAACAGAACAAAAACGAGAAAGAAAGGCTATCTTCGGCACGCCGAAGATCTAATACCCTTGCAGACCCAACCTTTTCATAATGCTTATAGTTCTTTGCCCGTATCTAAGAAGCACAGGGAAAATAGTTCAAGCCGAGTTTGGTCAAGATATCTTGATAAACAAAATGTTTTTTCATACAACAACTTAATTTTCGACCGATCGTTCCCATGGCAGCTATATGATATAGTGGTCCCATCTTAATAGGATTTTGCATATATATGAGGAGTAAAGTAAACTAATAAATGCCGAGTTTGGTCGAGATATATTGATAAACAAAATGTTTTGTCATGCAAAAACTTAATTTTCGACCGATCGTTCCTATGCCAGCTATATGATATAGTGGTCCGATATTAAAAGGATTTTGCATATATATGAGCAGCTTACTAAAACATATAATTGCCGAGTTTGGTCAAGATATCTTGATAAACAAAATGTTTTTTCATACAAAAACTTAATTTTCGACCGATCGTTCCTATGGCAGCTATATGATATAGTGGTCCGATCCAGCTGGTTTTAACATATGTGCTGCGTGCAACAGAAAGATGGACTTCTGCAAAGTTTCATTAAGATAGCTTTAAAACTAAGAGACTAGTTCGCATAGAAACAGACAGACGGACAGTCGCACATGGCTATATCGAATCCGCTGTTGATGTTGATTAAGAATATATATACTTTATGGGGTCGGAGATGTCTCTTTCTATGCGTTACACATTTCACGACAAAATCTTTATACCCTCTGCAAGGGTATAAAAACTAGGGATCTATTGTTATTACTAATACTTATGCTACTTAAAACTAGCAAAACAATGATTCTGTGGATCTAGCGGCTCCTTTCCTTTCTTACTACTAATACTTATGCTTCTTAAAACTAAATAAACAATGAAACTACAGGTCTAGCGGCTCCTTGCCGTGAAACAGATTGTGGGGTGGCCACTTAGTGTAGCCGCCTCACAAGCTCTTTTTTGAAATACTTCATGAGCGATAACGAGGTTGCCAACACAACACCCGGCTGTCTACAGCTACTTCTGCCGATGCCCAAAATTCAATGACAACTTGAAAACATTTTCCATAAGAACCAACAACATAATTCGCAGTAACAAAGTCATGTCTTCTTCTTATCCACTCGCTTTCAACTCGCAATTAGCTCGAGAGAGATTTTTATAATTTTTAATTTGTCAAATAGGGTATTTTGACTAGTGATCAATACCACTAACCTTCTTGTGTAGTTACAGCCTTTTTGCAACTAAATAATTATCACTCCTTGTGTGCAGCTATATTAAAAGATGGATATTTTTTTACGAATGTATTTATTTGCCGCACAGGGCACTTAATAGAATTTACGAATTATATTGTTGCTTGGCAGCCAACTCGAAATAGTTGTGCCTTGCTTTCGATCAAACGAAAAACTGATTACATGTAAAACGAACGAAATTGAGCTCCGCTCAGAACGAAGGGCAGCGGGCGTCAATGCAGGAGGCAAAGGGCCGACGAAAGAGAGTGGGCAGCATCTTACAAGAGCGAGAAACCATTATTTTCTCTTAAGCTGTAATTATGATTATTGTCTTCTGCTGTTACTGCACGCCGTAGATGACGGTGTCTAATTTGTAAATCTGTATCTTCTGATGCTGAGACTCACGCCACAGGATACTTTGAAAATAGCTGTCTGCGGGTTCGGCTCGTACGCATCGATACATTTTGCATATATCGCCTGTGAGGGCGACTGCAAATGTACGAAACCGCATCATTTCAAAAGCAAATTTTTGATCCAACCGCCTACTCTGTCTCTTTATAACTCAATGATTTGCCCTATTCGGTTGCGCATGCCCTCAGCTGTGCAATTAACGAACAACTGACATCCAGTGCGGTCTGTAAAGCAGTAAACAAACTAGAACCAGACGAGTGAGATGTGATATGATTAGCCAAACAGTGCTTATAGCTCCCTATAAGCTAATCAACAAGCAGATTAGTTTGGGGATTGCAAAGCAGCCACTACACAGTATACGGCTTTTATTAATTGTTTCAAAAGTTCTTAAAGATAAAAAGTGACTAAAGTAAAAAAGTTGTGTTAACGAAAATAAATTTTGATAATGAATTGGATGGGCTAATGAAATGAAATTTATGTACATGAAAGAGCAAATATGTGGATTTTTTTTATATAATATTCAATGAAGGGTGTCGAGGGAAATGGGAAATATGTTCAATTGTTTGGTTAATGCAACCACTAAACTACAATACTATGATTTGACTCTTCTTATTTCGATTAAATTTTCTAGTGCTGTGAATTGACTTGAGTATCTGTCCTCCAGTCCGCCGCGTCAGGCCTTGCCTTAAGCCAATTATTCAAGATGCATGGTATCCAGAGGCCACGCTGACGTAGTGCTGTTCATGACATGGGCACCTGGGACCCGCCATTAGATTTCGAGTTTTCGTCTCTGAGCTCCTCATATTTAGTCTTGAATGGTGTCACTTTGTGCAGGGTGTAATTCCTCAATACGTAAGGTTGCTCTTTAATAAGGGGAACATGCTTATCGCCTTTTTGATGATGTTGCTACGGTTTTCATACGCGCCATAAAGCTTTGCCGAAAGTCTTCACCCCAGACTGACGCAGATGCGGGTGCTAGGGAAAATTACATATAACTAGTTCGGATATTTCTTTTATTGCCCGTCACATACATTTGAACAACCGCTGTTACGGGGCTTTAAAATAAAGTTTAAATAATTTTATTTTTCGGAAAAAAAAAGGTACAAATATATTACTTAAAGGCAAAGTCGAAGTATAAAGCACAATATAGCCCAATCAAATTTAAAAGATTCGCTCTCCATTTTTCAGCCCCACTGGTAACTGTTTCGGTTTCGGTATCATTCCACCACTCCCAGAAGTTTTCGTGAAGAGCGGGATTCGCACGCAAATCCGGTATTGGTACTCGAGCACTTTCGACAGCTCCCAACCGAAACTCGTTTACTTCCTTTTCGAGCTGCTGCAGTTGCAATGGATACAGGTTCGCTAGGTTATAATGCTCGCATGGATCGTCGGTCAAATTAAAGTAACAGGGCGCTTGCAGGGGATGGCACAGATACAGAGGCTGCAAGTGGATCGTACCGTTGATGGAACAGTGATGAGTTGCTTGGGCACGTAGCTGTTTGATACGCTCGCTAGTCAGGCTTTTAGAGCCCAAAACCTGCTGCACTTCAGAAGAAAGAACCTGCTGAACGTAGTACGCACTTAGCGGATCAATTTCGCCAGCATCCAACTCGCCCAACCAACTATCAAAGCGTCCCTCAAATCGACTTCCATTGACGTATTTTAGATTGTCCCGCATATATGACGAATAGCCAAAAACATCATCCAATACATGCAGCAGCGTTCTAGGCTGCGGCTCCAAGTTTTCACTAAGCGAGGGCCACATATTGACGCCATCTATATTGAGATGATCGGGTAGAGCCACACCAGCAGCTGAAGCCAGTGTGGGTAGCCAATCTATTGCATGAATAACCTGTTCGGATACGTAGCTACTCTTTTGCAAAAGTGGACTCCAGATAGCGCCTGCGGAGCGTATGCCACCCTCCCAGGGAGATTCCTTTTGCTGTAGGAAAAAGATGAGATTGAAATTGTTAGCTGAAGAATTAAAATTGTAAATGTCGGAGATGGTACAAGTCGTAATGCGCGGGCTACTTCGAATAAATGTAGTATTGTTTAATTTATTTAAAAAGCAGCCAATTACATAATACCTAAAAACCTATGTGGACACTGTTATAAACTACATTTTAAGCTGGCCGACTCGAGTTCAATGTTCAATAATTTTATTAAATTAATATTTATTATCGCTTAATATCTCTTCATTCATTAAATATGTCAAAATAATTAAAAACGAGAAAGAAAGGCTATCTTCGGCACGCCGAAGATCTAATACCCTTGCAGACCCAACATTTTCATGATGCTTCTAGTGCTTTGCCCGTAACTAAGAAGCACAGTGAAAATAGTTAATGCCGAGATTGGGCAAGATATCTTGATAAGCAAAATGTTTTTTCATACAACAACTTAATTTTCGACCGATCGTTACTATGTCAGCTATATGATATAGTGGTCCGATCTTAAAAGGATTTTGCATATATATAAGGAGCATATTAAAACTAATAAATGTCGGGTTTGGTCAAGATATCTTGATAAACAAAATGTTTTTTCATACAAAAACTTAATTTTCGACCGATCGTTCCTATGGCAGCTATATGATATAGTGGTCCGATCTTACTAGGATTTTCCATATATATGAGGAGCATAGTAAAACTAATAAATGCCGAGATTGGTCAAGATATCTTGAAAAACAAATGTTTATTCATACAAAAACTTAATTTTCGACCGATCGTTCCTATGGCAGCTAGAGATATAGTGGTCCGATCTTAATAGGATTTTGCATATACATATATGAGGAGTAAAGTAAAACTAATAAATGCCGAGTTTGGTCAAGATATCTTGAAAAACAAAATGTTTTTTCATACAAAAACTTATTTTTCGACCGATCGTTCCTATGGCAGCTATATGATATAGTGGCCGATCTAAATAGGATTTTGCATATACATGAGGATTTTAGTAAAACTAATAAATGCCGAGTTTGGTCAAGATATCTTGAAAAACAAAATGTTTTTTCATACAAAAACTTAATTTTCGACCGATCGTTCCTATGGCAGCTATATGATATAGTGGTCGGATCTTAATAGGATTTTGCATATATATGAGGAGCTTAGTAAAACTAATAAATGCAGAGTTTGGTCAAGATATCTTAAAAAACAAAATGTTTTTTCATACAAAAACTTAATTTTTGACCGATCGTTCCTATGGCAGCTATATGATATAGTGGTCGGATCTTAATAGGATTTTGCATATATATGAGGAGCTTAGTAAAACTAATAAATGCCGAGTTTGGTCAAGATATCTTGAAAAACAAAATGTTTTTTCATACAAAAACTTATTTTTCGACCGATCGTTCCTATGGCAGCTATATTATACAGTGGTCCGATCTAAATAGGATTTTGCATATATGTGAGGAGCTTACTAAAACTAATAAATGCCGAGTTTGGTCAAGATATCTTGAAAAACAAAATGTTTTTTCATACAAAAACTTAATTTTCGACCGATCGTTCCTATGCCAGCTATATGATATAGTGGTCGGATCTTAATAGGATTTTGCATATATATGAGGAGTAAAGTAAAACTAATAAATGCCGAGTTTGGTCAAGATATCTTGATAAACAAAATGTTTGTTCATACAAAAACTTAATTTTCGACCGATCGTTCCTATGGCAGCTATGTGATATAGTGGTCCGATCATGCTGGTTTTTACATATGTGCTGCGTGCAACAGAAAGAGGAACTTCTGCAAAATTTCATCAAGATAGCTTTAAAACTGAGAGACTAGTTCGCATAGAAACAGACAGACGGATATGGCTCTATCGACTCGGCTGTTGATGCTAATCAAGAATATATATACTTAATGGGGTCGGAGATGTCTCCTTCTATGCGTTACACATTTCACGACAAAATTTTAATACCCAACGCAAGGATATAAAAATATTTGTCTGAGGCCGAGTTATAGCAGGCTGCTAGCGACACAACAGTGATGCTGCACCTCCTATCGATAGCTAGCTGTTAAGCATTGTTCGATAACTAAGAATAAGAAAAGAGTGTTAGACAATTATAAAAGGTCTTGGAGTCAGTCTTTAGCAGAGAAGCGAATAAAGTGGAAGTGTTTTGGACTTGCTGAAGTTAAAGACTTTTGCATTGTAACGGCTCCTACACTTGGAAACGGGGCAAGTTATCGAATATCGGAAACAAACTCGTTCCGCACTAGGAGGACCTACTGTTAAAATTTTATGTCTCTAGCTCTTATAGGTTCTGAGATCCTTGCATACTTACATACGGACGGACGGACAGACAGAACGGTTAGATCGACTCGGCTGTTGATGCTGATTAAGAAAATATATACTTTATGGGGTTGGAGATGCTTCCTTCTGCGTGTTACCTACATTTGCACAAATACAATATACCCCTTTTACCTATTTTTAATCTCTTTACAAGGAGTCCAAAATGCATACATCTTTTGTAACTCCTTTGGGAAGATTTGAGTTTTTACAGGTACATTGTTCAAAGATGTATCCACACAATATTTGTATACCCTTGCAGAGGGTATTATAATTTTGTCGTGAAATGTGTAACGCATAGCAGGAGACATCTCCGACGCCATAAAAATATTCTTGATCAGCATCAATCGCCGAGTCGATATAGCCATGTCCGTCTGTCTGTTTCTATGCGAACTAGTTTCTCTGTTTTAAAGCTATCTTAATGAAATTTTGCAGAAGTCCCTCTTTCTATTGCACGCAGCTCATGTGTGAAAACCAGCTGGATCGGACCACTATATTTTGTTTGTCAAGATATCTTGACCAAACTAGGCATTTATTAATTTTACTATACTCCTTATATATATGCGAAATCCTATTAAGATCGGACAACTATATCATATAGCTGCCATAGCAACGATCGGTCGAAAATTAAGTTGTATGAAAAACATTTTGTTTTTCAAAATATCTTGACCAACGTCGGCATTTATTAGTTTTACTATACTCCTCATATATATGCAAAATCCTATTAAGATCGGAAGACTATATCATATAGCTGCCATAGGAACGACCGGTCGAAAATTAAGTTGTTGTATGGACAAATTTTTTGTTTTTCACGATATATTGACCAAACTCGGCATTTATTAGTTTAACTATGCTCCTTATATATATACAAAATCCTATCAACATCGGACCACTATATCATATAGCAGCCATAAGAGCGATCGATCGAAAACCAGGTTTTTGATTAAAAACGTTTTTTGGTTAAGATATCTTGACCATACTCGGTATTTACTATTTTCCCGGTACTTCTTAGATACGGGCAAAGCACTATGAGCATTATGAAAAGGTTGGGTCTGCAAGGGTATTAGATCTTCGGCGTACCGAAGATAGCCCTTCTTTCTCGCTTAAGTTTAACTTTGAAAACAATTTTTTATTCGCTAGTCTTTCTAGTAGATCATCTATCAGTGGAATTGGATAGTTATCTTTCACCGTTACTTTGTTAAGCCGACGATAGTCTACACACATTCTGAGCTCTCCTGTTTTCTTTTTTACAAGGACAATTGGTGACACATACTCTGACTCACTTGGTCGTATGTATCCTCGAGCTAAGTTTTCGTCTAGTATTTTCTGTACTTCTATCTTTTCTGCATATGATAACCTTCTTGGGGAACAGCGAAACGCTTTTTCGTTTTCAATAGTAATTTAATTGAGTTCTTTATTTTAGGCTCCGCGGGTCTGTGTGGTTCTACATAATATTTTTCGAATATCTTTTCAAACCTTTCCAAACTATTTTGACATATTTCCTTTCCTACTTTGTACTTTTCTTTGTCTGTGCTTATAACGTTTTTTGCCAACATTTGTGTTTCAAAATTTTCTGTATCGTATCTTTCTCCTCTTTGCTCGTTGTAACCTTGTTCTTTATTATCCATTTCGGTCTTTTGTATGTTTACTGTATTGCATTCTGCTTTTTCCCCTACTTTATTCTTTTCTTTTTCCACTTCTTTGATCTCTTCTTTTTCCACTACTTTGCTCTCTACTTTTTCCACTCCTTTGTTCTCTTCTTTTTCCACTACATTGTTCTATTCTTTTTACACTACTTTGTTCTCTTCTCTTTATACTACTTTGTTCTCTACTTTTTTATTATTCACATTTTAATCTTTTGTATTTTTGTTGTACTTTTCTTTGTGCATCACCGTTGGCTCAACGTTTTTGTTCATAACATCTTCGACTTCAATTATTTTTAAATTTCTTAGAAATAGAAAATCTCTACCTAATACCATTGGGTACCTTGTAGATTCATCGTTCACAACAAGAGATTAAATTTTCACATTTTTATTTAAAGTTTTGATTACACAACATATTTTTCCAACTAAATTTAATTTACTTCCATTTATTCCAGAATAACATAAATTTAGATTTTCATTATTTGTTTTATCTCCTTTTGGAACAGTTGATTCTCTTACAAAGGTGATTGGGCTACCAGAATCTATTAGGCACTCTATGGAGGATGTAACATTTAAATTATTTTTATCAAGAAAACATACATCCAAATATCTTACGTAATCGTCGGTCGCCTTGTTTTTCTTGTAAAGTGAGCACTCTTTAGCCAGATGTCCAAGTTTGCCACAAGCAAAGCATGCTTGCGTCCAGATGTCCAAAGCTGTGACAATTGAAGCAGTTGTTGACCTTCTGTTCCGGGGTTCCACGCGTTGACGTCAGCATGTTTTTTATTTGGGGCTTGCCAAGTTGAGCCCTCGGCTGATCAATGTCTTGGAAAGCATCCAGAACTTCGCACGGCGCGGCAAAGCTTTGTAATTTAGCCTGATTTGTTAGCTGCATACCGGATATTCCATCAATCAAGTATTGTACCATTTCGCCGTTTCCCATTTTCAGCTCGTTTGCCAGGGTCATTTTATCAAAATAATACACTGCAAATTTTTCATCAGGTTTCCACTTTTGGCTTTCAAACCTAAGGTTTAGTTCAGACTTGTGGTTACGCAGATCTATGTTTTCGCACCGTAAATTCCACACCATACGCTCCATGTCTTCGTAATTTTGTTGGAAAACACTGCTGTTAGGTGCATTGTTTACGTTTTCATTCACAGTGCTGCCCTTATCAATGTTTGGCTCAGCATTGGCAACTTTGATGTTATGTGGAGCGTTGCCTGCATCAGCGTTTGGATCAGCATTGGCAACTTCAATGTTGTGTTGAGTGTTGCCACCAAGATCGCACACCGGTACTTCATCGTTTTCCTCATTTGCTATGCCGCTGTTTTCGACATCATTTCCGCCAATTTCTGCCGAATTGGAAAAGCCGTTATGGCTGGCCGCCTCTTCGTCACCAGAGCTGTTGTTGTTGTTGGCTGTCTGAGCGCCGCAAGAACCGTTGTTGTTGCTGCTGGTGCTTGGTGTTAAATCGATCAACTCTTCGTTGGAGTCTAGCATTTCCAAATGGAGGTTTGGAGCACTTGCTGACGGTAATGCAGCATTCAGTTGAGCCAATAAAGCAGCTTTGGTGCCTCTAGTTGGCAAACCCAGTTTTTCGCACCACATTTTTAGGTCGGATAGGCTTAGATTCCCAATGTTCACTCGATTCCATAATCAAGTTATTTAATAACTAATATTGATAAGTTTGAATTGATAATATTTGAATAATTTTGTAGGTTTAATTCCGTGACCACTTCTGAATTTGTAGGAATGGCCTGAAGCAAATAAAATGCAACCGTTCTTGTGCGCGTCACTTTTTTGAATGCCTTCGCAGATCATTTTATCTCACCATCTTCTCGTTTTTCTTATGCTCGTGTCGGAGCGAGAGTAAGAGCATCGAATGTTTCGCTCCCTGAGCGAAGCCTTCGATGTGATTACAGTTATATTTACAGTGGGACACTTAATGTTATATTACACTAGAATCTTACATGCTAAACATTACTACAATACTTAGGATTTCAAATATGAAAGGAGAATATAAAAGCTAACAATAAAGGGTTGGAAGCTTTTTCTAATATTGCGAAACCAATGTATGATATACTAAGAAAAGATAAAGTATTTAAATTTGAATAAAAAGAGCTTAACTGTTTTTGGTACTTGTAAAAAAGCTGAAGAAGGATGGTAAGTTGCATCCCATATTCTATTATCTAAGCGTACATCGGAAGCGGAAGCGAAGTATCACAGTATTGAGTTGGAGACGTTAGAAGTTATAGAATTAAGGATATGTTCAAAAGGAAGAGGTTTCAAAATTATGATACACTTTAACGCTGAGCAAGATAGAGCTGCGAGGTGGGCGTCAGAACTGCAAGAGTTATGAGTCAGTTCATAGAGCTGGTAAACAAATGCAACAATTGGAATCTTTATCAAGAGTTAATAATACGATTATGATAACAGACGAATCATTTTTAAACGATCATAATAATTTGTCAGATTAAAGATAAAGCAGCAGGAAAAAGTTATTAAATTGTTGAGAAACTCCTACATAAATTGTTTGAGATAAGGAATGAAATAGTGTATCGAAAGACTAATGAGAATAGATTATTTGAAGTACCTAAACGAATTGAGGACCACGTATTGTATAAATTCAGCTAAGACAGAAGGGGAAAGTGGAATATTATATTATTATTATAAGTATAGCTTAGGGTAACAAACAATTAGACTTAATATACATTGATGACTACGTGTAGATAACAGCAGAGCAAACAAGTAAGAGGTTCTAGTCGGGCGCTCCCGCTAGGGGATACCCTGAACCCTCTTCTTCCAACATCAAATTTATATATATATTCTATTTTAGAAGCTATATGTCAAGTTTGGTGACTCTAGCTCTTATTATTTACCAAAATTGCCCAAAAAACAGGATATCGATATAGATTTTTATCGATTGCTTGGAAACGGAGTAAGTTATCGATTATCGGAAACAAACTCGATCTGCGCGGGAACTAGGAGCACCTACATCTAAAATTTCAAGTATCTAGCTCTTATAGGTTCTGAGATCCTTGCGTTCATACATACTGACGGACATGGCTAGATCGAATCGGCTATTGATGCTGATCAAGAATATATGTATGTACTTTATGGGGTCGGAGATGCTTCCTTCTGCCTGTTACATACAGTTGCATTTTGCACAAATACAATATACCCTTTTACCCGTTTTTAATGGGTTTAGGGTATAATAAACAGCGAGGTTAAAAGGTCATTAAAAGATTATTTTCGAGCCTATTGCAGGCCGAGCTGTATAATATCTGATTGGGGATTGCTAAAAAAATTAGACATATTCACCCGCATTTGAATCCAAGAAGGGTGCTTTTGAAATTGATATTAAAGTCGAACGCTGGGTAAACATTAAACTTTTATAGAATTGTTTACCGCCAATTTACCACAGTCTCGAATCGCATTCTAAATCGTTGAACGTATTCATAAATTTGTTTTGTAGGTCTCTGAATGTAATTTTGAGATCGATCGGAGAAAACTTAAAAATTCACCAAAAAATTGTAGAATCGAACTTTTTACCGAAGAAACTTTTTTTTGCAAAATTTTGGAAAAAAATTTGAAAGAGAAACGTCACCCACCAAATATTTGATCCCCATTTCCACTAAGGAAGGATGGACTTACCAAAAAGTGGGAAACACCCCTCAAATGAAATTGAACAAAGATCTCTGAAAATGGTTTGAAGCCGATCCCATATTATAGTACTGTTGAACATTATTTTGTTTATGTTTGGTTAGGTTTGTTGGCTTAAATTTAAGTATGCCTAAAATCTTATTAACTGTTGTATTTATATTTTTAATTTGGTTGCTTAATTTCTTTCTGATATTTTAGCTGTCCATGCGCAGATCGAGCTTGTTTCCGATAATCGATAACCTACTCCGTTTCCAAGCAATCGATAAAAATCGATATCGAAATCGTGTTTTTTTAGCAAATTGGGTAAATAATAAGAGCCAGAGTCACCAAAAGTGATAGTTTCCCCGCTACCATCGCAGAGCTATAAATCAAGTTAATAACCCAACTTACATTGTCCAACAAATTAAGCCTCAATTTTAATGCAATTTACTCTTTGAGAATACCCAAATATTCTATGACACAATAAGATATACTGTAGAATATTTCATGAAGATCGGTAAGGAACCACGAGTTTGCGGCACCAGCACGAATTGCAAGAATTTCTGTATACATGTACACACACATCAACGGCATTGCAATTGCGACCGTATTTTTTCTGTGCTCCTATTTTAATTCGTTTTTTTTTTTATCAAGACTCAATTATTGGTTTGGCTGTTGAGTAGAGGCGGTGGCAAGTGGTGTTGTCTGTTGCGAGTTTGAGACCTACCGAGGAAACCATTTTTATACCCTTGCAGAGCGTATTATAATTTTGTCGTGCAATGTGTATCGCATAGAAGGAGACATCTCCGACCCCATAAAGTATATATATTCTTGATCAGCATCAACAGCCGAGTCGATATGGCCATGTCCGTCTGTCTGTTTCTATGCGAACTAGTCTCTCAGTTTTAAAGCTATCTTGATGAAATTTTGCAGAAGTTCCTCTTTCTGTTGCACGCAGCACATATGTGAAAACCAGCATGATCGGACCACTATATCACATAGCTGCCATAGGAACGATCGGTCGAAAATTAAGTTTTTGTATGAACAAACATTTTGTTTATCAAGATATCTTGACCAAACTCGGCATTTATTAGTTTTACTTTACTCCTCATATATATGCAAAATCCTATTAAGATCCGACCACTATATCATATAGCTGCCATAGGAACGATCGGTCGAAAATTAAGTTTTTGTATGAAAAAACATTTTGTTTTTCAAGATATCTTGACCAAACTCGGCATTTATTAGTTTTACTAAGCTCCTCATATATGTGCAAAATCGTATTTAGATCGGACCACTGTATAATATAGCTGCCATAGGAACGATCGGTCGAAAAATAAGTTTTTGTATGAAAAAACATTTTGTTTTTCAAGATATCTTGACCAAACTCGGCATTTATTTGTTGTACTAAGCTCCTCATATATATGCAAAATCCTATTAAGATCCGACCACTATATCATATAGCTGCCATAGGAACGATCGGTCGAAAATTAAGTTTTTGTATGAAAAAACATTTTGTTTTTCAAGATATCTTGACCAAACTCGGCATTTATTAGTTTTACTTTACTCCTCATATATAGGCTAAATAATATTAAGATCGGACCACTGTATCATATAGCTGCCATAGGAACGATTAGTCGAAAATTAAGTTTTTGTATGAAAAAACATTTTGTTTTTCAAGATACGATACGAACTAGTCCCTCAGTTGTAAAGCTATCTTAATGAAACTTTGCAGAAGTCCCTCTTTCTGTTGCACGCAGCACATATGTCAAAACCAGCTGGATCGGACCACTATATCATATAGCTGCCATAGGAACAATCGGTCGAAAATTAACTTTTTGTATGAAAAAACATCTTGTTTATCAAGATATCTTGACCAAACTCGGCGTTTATTAGTTTTACTTTACTCCTCATATATATGCAAAATCCTATTCAGATCGGACCACTGTATCATATAGCTGCCATAGGAACGATCAGTCGAAAATTAAGTTGTTGTATGAAAAAACATTTTGTTTTTCAAGATATCTTGACCAAACTTGGCATTTATTAGTTTTACTTTACTCCTCATATATAGGCTAAATAATATTAAGATCGGACCACTGCATCATATAGCTGCCATAGGAACGATTAGTCGAAAATTAAGTTTTTGTATGAAAAAACATTTTGTTTTTGAAGATATCTTGACCAAACTCGGCATTTATTAGTTTTACTAAGCTCCTCATATATGTGCAAAATCCTATTTAGATCGGACCACTGTATAATATAGCTGCCATAGGAACGATCGGTCGAAAAATAAGTTTTTGTATGAAAAAACATTTTGTTTTTCAAGATATCTTGACCAAACTCGGCATTTATTAGTTTTACTATACTCCTCATATATAGGCAAAATCCTATTAAGATCGGACCACTATATCATATAGCTGCCACAGGAACGATCGGTCAAAAATTAAGTTGTATGAAAAAAATTTTGTTTTTTAAGATATCTTGACCAAACTTTGCATTTATTAGTTTTACTATACTCCTCATATATAGGCAAAATCCTATAAAGTTCGCACCACAAATCATATAGCTGCGTTAGAAACGATCGGTAGAAAATTAAGTTATTGTATGAAAAAACATTTTTTTTATCTGGATATCTTGACCAAACTCGGCATTTATTAGTTATACTAAGCTCATCATATATGTATATGAAAAATCCTATTAAGATCGGCCCACTATATTATATAGCTGCCATAAGAGCGATCGGTCGAAAACCAGGTTTTTGATTAAAAACTTTTTTG